CTCAGGAGATAGTGGCTAAAGGAAGAATTAAGTCTTATTTAAAGGATAGCTATCTTCCTATTTACCTTTTTGCTCTAACCTTTCAGAAAATACCTGAGGCAAAACACCACGGGTATTACAGAGAGGGTAACATACATTATTGTTTATGTGCTTATCACAGTTATCATTTCCACAGGGGAGCTGATATTACTTGATGTAGCTCCGTGCATAAACAGCATTTTCAAAGTGTTTCAGAAGGATAAGGTCATGCCTGAGGTTGCATAGTTGTTTAAAGGGAGCGGTCCTACTTCATGTGGGGGAAAAGTATTTTTAAAGTATTTGGAGGCAATGGACATAAATGGAAAGGGTTTAAATCAATACATGAAAAAATATTTATACAAGAATATTATTAATGACAAGGAATAAAGCATTTAAAATTTTGATAACCTTTTCAATGATTGTTACACCTTTGTCTTGCATAGAATTGTTTCTCATCTTTCAGTATTAGATAGTGCTACAGGTACATAGTTCGCCAAATAACAGATTTCTTGGTCAAATGTCTTATAATTTAGACTTAAAAAGAGAAGATACTGTATATTGTAATCCTAAATTAAGAAGAATTGTACTTTACATGGCTTGTGTCACATGGTACTCCTGAACAGAAATTGGACTTTGTGGTTTAATTTGAATGATACCTTTCCATTTTTGTGTACTGTTCAAGCACTTCAGGTATTTATCTGGTTTCTCCAACCTTAAAAGCTGCCTGTGTTACCAGCTGAACATAATATGGAAAAACTTCTATAAAGGCTTCCCTGTTTCCAGGGATGTAAGCTGTTACAAACCAAATAGCATTGGATTGCTTATATGAGCCGTTATGTTATACAACCATTGTATTGGGGTATTTTTAATTGTAAATGTGTAGAGAGAGTCTGGTTTTGGTGAAACTTACTCATTGTTTCAATTGTTATGGAGAAATGTTTTTGTGTGGTTTTGAGACATTTTTGAGTTAGAGACTACAAGAGGTTGCATAACCAGGTTCCATTTGTATGTCTAATAGACTCAGTGTGGTTGTCTGTTAGCTTTTACACCAGGTGCGTGATTCTTGTTAATGACCTAGGGTAGAAAAATTCTTCCTTTCATCACTATTCTCTCACCAGTCATGTTTAGGTAATTCTCTTCTGCTGTTTCCCAGTATCAGAAACTAAGGATATATGCGAGGAAAAGACTTTTTCAGTGTTTTACAAATTGCAAATGTTTTCCAAAACTGGATTTCTCCCAAGAAATTGACAGTGATCTTGGGATAATTAGAATGATAAGTAGTGATTGATATAGTTCGGATTATGTGTCCTTAACACTGTGTTTTTATGGTGATAAGAATACATTCTCAAACAGAAAAACACTTCAAGTCTGGGAGATAAAAAAGCTTATTGCATCAATAGCTCATTATTCTTATGATTTTTATGCTATTTCTTTTCCACAAAACTTTTATTTTAGAACAAAGGAAATACCTAAATTTATTCACGAGAAAAGATATCATTATTTCTGCTTTCTTTTCTTTTCCTCTGTTCTAAAGCATTTAAGCTTTCATTTTTCTCCCATCTGAAATAGAAGTCATCTGAATTATTCCTGTGTCAGAGATTTTTTTTGTTTTAAAAAAAAGGTACAGACGCTCTTTGGAATTATTTGATACAACTGGTGTGATATGATGTGGGATAATTTTGTATCACACCTGAGGAAAAAATGAAATGAAAATTAAATAATTGTTACAAGTTCATTGACTATACATAATAACTGCCCTTTTAATGATGGTGGGATTTACATGTTCTAGCTTCTTCATGAGTTCACAGTCACTGAAGTAGGTATGACGTTATCTGAAGTTGTCCAGGAGATAGCCATTTTGAGTCCTTTAAAAATAAAGGCAGAGGAAATAAGTTACTCTTATTAATATTTAAGGACCTCTGGTACCTTTTCGTGTAGATTGTGATCCACGCTTGATGAAGAATTCAGTGCTCTATAAAGATGGGTTTCCCGGTAAGCATGACTCAAACTACCTTGGAGAAATTGTAATCTTCAAAATGTATCGTGTGACTGAATAATTTTTTCTAGTGGTTTCCTCCTGTTGGTTCAAGGTGCTATGATTCTTTAGGCTGCTGTTACTAATTCATTGATGTTATTCTGATAGTGGAAATAAATCATAGCAGCACAAGCACTCCCAGCAAGTAGCAAGTGCTGTTTTGTTTTTTTTTGTTTTGTTTTGTTTTTTTCACAGTGTTCCATACTGAATGTCATTTATGAAAGAGGTGCTTCTGCTGCCTCTGGGCACTCCAAAAGTATTACGCCTTTGGTAGCATGGTTCAGAAAGCTGTGCGTAAAACAAATCAGGAAGAAGGTTTTAATAGCCATGCTTTCCGTTCTGGTTTTATAGAATGTTACTCTGTTATCCCCAGCTTCTCTTAGGTATTTCTTAAAGCACTTCATTCACTACAGATAGTGTGACAGCACCAAAAATAATAATCTAGTGATTATTTTTGTCTCATTAGAATTTTTAGTGCTCCAAAAGGGTAATTTTGTCTGGAAGTTTTCTAGCAGTGGCTTTAAAGAGTGTTTGGATATTCTCTGCATCAGATTATTTGCATTAATTATTTAAAGTTCTTTAGATTCAGATTCTGTTGAATCTATACATTGCTATGTGCAAAATGGTGATCATGGTTTGCTTGATTTTCTGAAAGAGAAGAAAATGTAAGTAAATTCTGTAATGAATGCAACATAGTTTAGAAGCATTAAATTTTTTAGCAGAAAATTTTCATGTCAGAAGTTCATAGGTGCTACCATTTTTTTCTTTTTTTGTCTTGAAGGCCATTCTTTGTAGGATGACATTTTCTTTGTCTCAAAATAGAAATCTATTGCCTATTGCATTTTCCTTCTCGCTTTTTGGATGGTCTGTTTATTGATGACCTCCTGCAGTTTTGAGAATATGTTCAGCTTCAAAACTTGCAGATAAGATTCTCATGTCATCCTCTGTCATTTCCAACAAAACTGAGTAGGAACTCATATGTGGCTTTATGTGATTTGTGTATCTCTCACTTGTGTTTAACCTTAGGCAGACTTGTTGCATGTACTCTAGCCTCAAGACTGTTTTGGATTGTGCTCTAGCACCTCTTCAACAGAGCAGAAGGAAAGTCCTCTTTCGTGCCTACTATAGAACGAATTACCCGATCACATAAATCCGAGGCAGACCTGACTCAAGATGTCTTATAGTTCATCCGTCTGCCCTGTCAGTGTCACACTTGGATTACAGTGTCAGTGTTGCGCAGTATTGTGTAAATTGTCACGCATCACATCTTCTGCAGGGAGCCCCTTGGACTGCCCAAGCAGTTCTGCTAGCATGGATATATAGTCTGCAAGTGCTAGGTCCTGTGATCATTTCTAAATCAGCATTGCTGGCAATGGCAGAGGAACTGGACACCTTGTGACTGTTTAACTCTGTCCTTCCAAAGGGCTCTTGAAAACTTGAATGTCTTAAAAAGTCTTGAGATGTGAGAGTCTTTGGTAGTCTTACAAGTGCTGCTAACTCTTCCCCCACTTCTTGAGCACCCAAAAAATCCCAACTGCCACAGAAGCTCTAGAAGAGGCAGGCAGAAACACATGCTGGCTGAAAGCAGGTGTGTAATCTGAATTGGAGTTCTTGTAATGCTCTTGTAACTGTCATTAACCTATTCTCAGTGATCAGTCTTGGCTGGATGAGTACTACAGAGTTCTGATACAGAAAACTTAAAACTGGCTATGCTTTCTCAATAACATTCACAAAGGAACTATCTGTAATAAAGTACATGCATATATTAGAATAATTTAAAGAATATTTTTATCATAATTACAAGTAGGAAGATCACAGCAAAAAATATTGCATTACATGATTTGCATCCTTACCACTCAACAGTCGATGAAACTTCTCTGTGTCAAGCACTAGAAGGAATGCAAGTTTATGTTAGGAATTTTAAGGAAATAGAAAGAATGCAGCTTCTTAGGGCTGTCCTAAAAGTCTGCCATAAACTGTAAAGAGGCTCTTTAACATTCCCAAGTTGTTTTCTTAAAGTAAGTTCTCACAGTAATGCTGTGGTTAAATGGTACAAATTTGCTGAAATAATTAACACAGAGCACAATTGGCTGGCATGGGTATTCAGCTGATTTTGCCCAGGAAAGCCTTGGCACATGTGCACATATTTACTAAATGAGAATAAGAGAAGAGGTGCTTTATACAATTGAGGTTTTGTTTATTGTTGTGAAAAGGCTGTTTCAGGTGCATCAGAGAAACTGCATATGCACCCATGGTTGCAGGCAAGGTTCTGGACACCAAGGTGCACCTACAGAAGTGGTTTGTACGAGAGTGATGTGTACAAGTATTGAAAGGAGAAAATGCAGTCTAATTCCAGCCTGCCATATGGGTGAGGTCAAAATCTAATCTGATTTTGCACTAATAAGAAGATGCAGAATATCTTAGCAGAATTTGGCTAGGTAGTTCTCAGATCTTCATGCGCTTTGCACAGGATCCACCAGTAATTCTTGGAAGATTAATGTGATGAAGTGCATGCTTTCCACTGAGCAGCAGCTGAAGAGGCATAATGTGGAACCCTAATTATCTCCTCCAGCTGTGACCAAGCAGCCAGTTAGAAACAGCTGCTCTGAGAGACAGTGTGGGCAGCAGGTGGAGTCATTGGGCGATACTGGCAAGAGAAGCTTCAAAAAGAGGAAGCATGTAGAGGGAAAATAGCCATGCAGCAAATGGGTAGGAACAGCATGGGCAAATGAGGGAAAAAAAGTGGTCCTTGGTTATCAAACCAGAGCAGAAAGGAGAGTCCAGGATTAAAGGTTCAATTTTTTCTCTATCATATTGAAGGGAAAGTGAGAACTGAGGGTCCAAGGATTCCTGTGTCTACAATTGCAGAGAGATGCTGTGCAGTGCATATAAACCTTCTGGTCTTTGGATTATGATTTTAAACACTTTTTTTCCACTTTGCTTTCAGGCCCACCACCTCTGGATGGGATGACATCTACACCAGGTCTAACAGTTCTCATACCAAGGATTCTGTTGTGTTTGGTGCCTTATCCTTTGTCAGTGATGTAAATACAGAGTGCATTGATAAGAACTTTATACAGGTAAGTGATTCGGAGAAGGTGGGTCAGCCAACAAAACTTTTACAAATATTTCTGTTTGGACAACTGTATGGGGGGGCTACTGAACTAAATAGTCAGTTAGTTTGACTGAGATCTTAGCATCTTGGAGGGGAGCTGAGGAGAAGCTACTAACCTTGTGATTTTGCAGACTTCATTTACTTACTCCAGCAGATAGGAAGCATTTGATACATGCTTCCTACAGTCTCTGTTTCCCTGTAGCTTTTACTCTTTTGGAAAGCTCTCTTATGTATGGTCTTTACACTGTTAAATGCTTCTCTTTCTTGAAAAACAAATTGTTATTTATTCAAAATGAGGTCTTGCTAATTTCCAAGGCTGCAGGTGCAGTATCACAGGGAGCAAGATTGACAAAGCTATGTAGACTATAACATCATAAAGTCATGACACTTTTATTAAGTATTGGGGCAAAAAAAGAAGGCAATTGCCTTTAATTTTTCATCCCAAACCTGCTGGTGTCTGGGAATTCAGTTTGTACTGAGTATGCTTTCTGAAAGGGTAGATGTGCCGGATTCATCCTCCACTTTGGAAGAAGGTGGTGGCAGTTCCCATGACTTCAGTAAAGGATATGAGGGGGATGGTATTTAACTTGTAGAAAAGATGTATAAGGAACTACTATGCTAGGAGATTGGGTTTATGTTTATAGACTGCTCAGTAAGTGGCTACTTGCTTTATGGCTATATTAAGTGCTTAAGAAGTATCTTAGGTTAATGCCATACACACCATCTTTATAACATATATTTGGATTTCATGTGTTATCTCTGTGGTAAACAGTAAATATGCATAATACAAAATAGAAAGTTTTCTCATTTCTGTGTATGAGGTTTCTAAACATCTCCTTCTACAATAACTACATTTTCATGTTCATTCAAGGAACTGTAGTATGCTGGTACCTTACCTGCATTCACATTTCTTTCCCCTCTGTATCAGCAAGAGTGAAGGGAGGCATTTTTGAGGAAAATCTGGGGACAAAAGGATCCTAAAGAGGTGACAGGTTTATGTAGGTTACATTTACCATCACAGACACATTCTTTAAAGCTCTGAAGTACAACTAGCTGAATGTGAGCTTATTCAGCCTCTGGAGAACCCCATTGCCTTCAGGATTAATCAGGTTGGGCACAGAAATATGACCCTAAATAGAATGTTGAAGCACAGGAATGGGAACACCGCCATCTTTATCCTCTTACTTTGGTTCTAAGTGCATGATTGTGAGAATGAGAAAAGCCAAAGTAAATTAAAGCAATCTCAACAACCGCACCAGCAAAATTTCCCCTTATTTAACAGTTTTCTTTCACTGTATTTGGCAATGCTTTTTTCCTCTTTGTGTCTTACTAAACCTAAACTGAAAGATCAGAGGAAAAAAAAAATGGAAAGGAAGTAAACAAGTAAATTCTATCTTACTGACAGGCATGACAAAGCTCCCATTGACTTTAATGGATGCATCTCCTTTTGTGCTTTACCTTGAATCAGGAGTGTGCTTTTGAAGCAGATTTGATCATCACCATTTACTATGCTTTGGTTCATATCATGAAGTGATTGTAGACACAGAAACTGAGTTCCTTTTGAATTAGGCTGAATTTAAGAATGTAATCCAGGAGTATACCTATTACGCTTCAACCTTAAATCAACTTTCAGACCGTGGGATGAGAGAAAGGCTAATCTGAAATAAAAATGCTGACAAATGGAAGTAATATGGATATGAAGTTCTATGCACCACTGTTTTATTTTGTAAGTCTCCCCCTGCTAGGCCATGTTATTTGCAACTATGGACATGACCAATGAATCCAGGATTGGTCTGTGCATTCTTTGTTTTGAAAGGCAGTGTGCTCTTTGGTGCTTTAATACCTTCCTTAAAAAATACTGACTATTGTGACGTCTTACAGAAATGGGGAGTAATTCAGTCAAGATTTAATATGAAGTTGAAGTTACGAAAAGGAAGTATCTGAAATTAATTTGAGACTGTGATTCATCTTCTGAGTTTAAAAATATTGTGGATTATAATTTAGAGGGCTCTTGTATGGAATTGTTATTACCAGGCACTGTCAATGTGCTTGACTGGTTTAAAACATAAATGTCTTGGAGAAGATGACATTTTCAGGATGCACGGCTGCAGAACCAACTTATCACCATAAATTAAATGCTTTGCTTAGAGTTAAATAGCTATGCTATATTTGCACTCTTTCTAGTACTGTAATCCTATCTTGTGAAGCTTCATTGTTTAGCTTTTGAGGGGATTTCTAAATGAAAATTTAGAATGAAAAATTGGGCAGCTTTTTTGTGACGGGGAACAGGAACAGGTGCATGGTATGTGAGTTTGTGCATGATATTAACTTTGTGCAGTCTTACAGCATGTGACTTTTTAATTGTGACCACTTTAAAAATACATTATTAGTGATCTGAATTAATTAGAGATAATATAAAAATCAAGGCCATAAAAAGACATGTCACATAGCATGTGTTTGCTCATTAGATATGACAGTAACTCTGCAGGGGAAATTAATATTGATATGTATATTCTCCAGAATTACACTGGAGAGGAAGAGAGGCTGAGCACTGCTCTTTGCCAGCATTAATAATGGGAAAATAAAACTGAAATTAATATTGACTACGACTTCTCATATGCTAAGCATCTTCTGTGGTTTATCAGGTTTCTCCCAGTACCAGTAGATTTCCCTGAGACAAATGGTGATTCCAGTACTACTGCTATGCTTCAGGCAAGGAAGACACCATAACCAATTCATTTTTCCTAGCTACCATTGATACTACAACATTTCTGTGAAAACTTGGAGCCTGTGCTACAACCTACGCAGGCTTTGTGGTGTACATGAAAGCAGGAACAGTCATTATACTTATTAAGCATTACACACATTTATCCATTCAATATTCTGCTTCTGTTTGTGGGGTAAGCAGATCTGTGTCACTGTTGCTGTTTCTGTGCTATTTGTTCTCTTTGGTAACAAGCTCACAGCCCTTGTTTTCTGAGAGTAGGGCAGTGGGCTTTTGTGCCAAGCATATACTTTTTTTTTTTGTTTAGTTTTTAACTTGGTGAATTTAGAGCTGTACTAAGGTGTACATTTAAGTTGCATTTCAGGAGTATTTGTAAACATTTTAACTGAGAGAAGTTTGTCTTTTATCACTGTAGTTGGATAAAGCCCCGTTGTTTTTTTTTTTTTTTTTTTTTCTTTTTAATGTAAAAAAAATGTTCACTAGTTAAATAGTTACGAGCATGAAGTGTATCATAAATCAGTGAGGTGACACTAATCTTGTGTGATTATTGCCAATAAGTAGTGCCTCATCTCCATTGGGATTCTCCAGTAAGAGAGTAAATGGGACACAATGTGCTGATACGGTTTCCTGTCATTCTCCTGTTTCTTTCCTTTGTTCCTACTTCTCTCTTTCTGAAACTTGTATCAGATGTAAGGAACTCCCACTACAAAAGTTCCCATAGTAACATCACTGAGGAATTGTGAACAAACTGCATGCCATCAGCAGACTCCTAGTTCAGATGCGGCTGTGCTGATTAGTGCCTTTGCTAGCCTAGCTTATGGTAGCTGGGAATTTATGACCTTCTGCTACCACAAAAATCTCTTATGTTTGTGCTATCTTCAGCAGAAAGGCCTGTTGCTTTAGCTATGCTACAATCACTGTTAGGGATTAAAACTTGATCAGTTCATGAAGTTTTTAGGCTTTTAAGTGCCTTGAAGTAAGGAAGATGTTGGGTTTTTTCCTTTGTGTTTATATAGTATCCCTTAGTACCCTGCTTCTGTGCTTTGCAGTGATATTCCTAACACATGCAGGTTACATGCAAAAATTACTGGCTTAGTAGTGAATAGAAAGTTAACCTTCTGACCTTTCTCCCATGTCAGATGGTAGTCCCTGACCCAAAAGTTTGGGGCAGTTGATCAGAGCCACCACCATTGAAGCACCAGGCTCCTGAGTTTGAGGATCAGAATATAAACTTGAAAATACCTTTTATTCTCTCAGTGTTGCCCAAAATTACTTGTCAACAGGCTTGTTTCCATTTTTGCCTTTCATGTTTGCTCCAAAGGATTTTGGAGAAACTTAATACTTTCTCTAATGTTCATTCTTGCATTCTTCTTCTTGTTGAGTTGTGGTTTCTTCTTTATTAAAAACAGAAACTGTATTCTTTGCAAGTCACTAGCAAGCAGAGAGCCTTATTCATGGTAAGCACAGATAAGACTATTTGAATGTTGAAATGAAATCCAGTTTATGTTAATCTGCTGTTTGAGCTTGTAAATGTTATGACCAGGATGTTTTTCCTTCTGATCAAGACAAGAAAGTGGAAATGATTCAGCTGAAAATTTCTGCAGTGCATGTGAGATACTTTAGCAGCGTAATCAACTTTGTCCCTTGTTTCCTCTTTCTATCAGATTTGAAGGGGCATGCCTGGTCTTAAGAGCAAAACCATGTGTCATGGCCACAGTCCAATTCAGCAAGTTCCTAATTTGTTGTAACTTAGGCTGCTGGAATAATGATGAAGTATATCCTCTGTGATCAAAGGGGTATAGATTGCTGAGGTGGCTCAAAATTAGTATCACAGAAATGGCAAGAGTGAAAATTTCTATCATTCTTGTGAGGTGGAATACTGACTTTGCAATAATTGGCTTACTAGTGGTAAATTTGAGACCTCTCTGATAATGCAATTGAATACTGAGATTTTTATTGTTTTAACAGAGGTTACTTTTGTGGCTTATGGGTAAAGTCATGTGATATTACTCAAATTCATTAATTATGTGGAATTGCCCCGTGAGCTCAGAAAAGTCGTTAGGGTCCTCATGAGCGCTGTTTGAGGACAGTCTGTACATCTTACACACTTGGAGAGGGAGAAAAATATTCAGTGTTTCCCTTTCTTCTTGTTCATGTATTTTTATGAACAGCTCTCATGATCCAACTTACATGTCTGTCAACTTCCTAATAAACTGGGAGTTGAAACTTTGCA